CATCCAGGCATCCGGGCCACACGTCGTTTGCTTACGGATCGTTTTGTGTGGTCTGGCATCAACTCTGATGTGCGGAAATGGGCAAAGTCTTGTCTTCAACATCGTTATGCCTGATCTTACAGAACCAGTCGATCCTACCACTACCGGTGATACTTCTACTTCTTCCTCTTCGCCTAGCATTGCTGGAGCTGTCGGTCTTAAACTTCCGCCTTTCTGGCCGAACGATCCGTCCCTGTGGTTCGCACAAGTGGAAGCACAATTCTTAACCAGAGGTATTACAACCGAGAATACTAAATTTGCACATGTTGTTGGTTCGTTGCAGCCAGAGATCGCGCAAGAAGTTCGTGATTTTTTGATCAGTCCGCCTACTACAGAACGGTATACTTTACTTAAGACTGAACTTATCAAGCGCACTTCGGCATCTCAACAGCACCGTCTACTAGGTGACTGGAAGTCGAGTCAATTTCTGCGTCGCATGAGGCAGCTCTTGGGTGAGTTTTCCCTAGAGGATAACATTTTGAAACAGTTGTTTTTACAACGATTGCCCAATAATGTACAGTTAATTCTTGCATCTACGAGTGACGAAGTTTCAATCGAACAGTTAGCTTTAATCGCCGATAAGATTGTTGAGGTAGCAGCACCATCGGTCCGAGGCATCGGTAAGTAGACAAACAGGAATATTTACAGTGTCAACGGTGTAAGGTTCATAGACATACTAAGTCGCCGTTAGGAACCTACGCCACTCCTGATGCTAGGTTCGATCATGTCCATATTGACCTAGTGGGACCTCTTCCTCCGTCAGAGGGATATGTGTATTTGCTTACATGTATAGACCGGTTCATTCCACCATAAACCTACTACAAATGGACACTCAACGCCTGAGACTTTATGGCAAACACCTGTTACTCACTGACAGGAACGCTAATTTTCCCCTTACACTTTTTTACGACTTATTGCTACAGGCGGTCTGCCGCGATAAGGCCTTTTGTACCGATCAGCGTCGCCGCACGAATGCTGGCCCTCTTTCGACGAATACAGTCTATTTCCATTGACGTCTCCAGTATTACCAGCATATTATGTTAGGGACCCTTCCAATAACGCATTGCGCAGTAAACATCCGTTTACTTTGTATTGCCAAAGTGTATGCTCAGTTCATCTCAACTATCTGCTCTACAACCCTAAAAAAATCTGAATCTATTTCATCAATCCTGACGAACTTTGGTGAATTTCTTCATATTATCCCATTAGCTTCAGGATTAAGTCTTTCAGAAAATAGGAATATGATCATTGTCTTTATATTATCCAGTCAATTTAGTTCAGATGTGCAAAATATGAAATAACTGCACTTTTTTTTAGCAACAACAAGGGCAAGTGTGCGGTAGCGCACTCATCCTGTTAGCTGATATTTCTGATTTTATTTGTTTTGCCCATCCAAGTACAATCGATTCTACATACCGGTAATGAAGATTTTGATACAAATTAAATGTTTATAATTGTAAGCAAGAAATTAAATTGAGAATTTAATTCTGCTGTAATTTACTATTGATTTTTTCTGTGACAAATCATAATGGCACATCACTAAATGAATAATTTTGTTTTTCCCCAAAACTTTTCATGGAACCAGTATCAAACTCTGATTATCCTTTTAATTTTTTAAATTTATTTTACATATTTTTTATATCTGAGTGGACTCTATGTTTGTGATCAGTAATTAAAACATTTTATGTCTTTTAAAGGTGATGGTGCACAGAGACGTATTGAAGCAGTACTGTCGTCTTTGTGGTAACACAGCAACATTTGCAGCTGATAGGAAGCCATACAACAAGGAGACTTATCAGAAGACAATCAAGGAAGCACTTCATCTCGAAACGGACAATGAAGACCCTGATATCTTTCCTCCATTCATCTGCAAGACCTGTCAAAGGAAGTTGGCGTGCTTCAAACTTTTGAAAAGGCAAAAGAAGGTGTTCACAGTGAACATTCCCCTGCATGATTTTAAGGGACATGATGATGACACCTGTATCATCTGCACTGAAGAGGCCATTCCAAACACAGAGGACGTGCAACGCGCAGGAAAGCAAGCAGCTGAGGAGCAATGGATGTCGTCAAGTCGGTAATGCGATCAAATGCTCTTTTTTTCTGTGTGTTTAAAGGAGACCACTATGATGTCCATTCCAAAATGCATCACTGTTTACAATGACTGTACGTGGGACATCATGTTTGTTGGAAGGAAACTTGAACAAAACCATCCGTTGTTTCAAGCGGTACCGACCGTCCTTGATGTGGCATCTATCAGGCAGCTGCTAGAAATCGGAGCACAGGCAAGAATATGCAGTGGAAATCAAGAGTTTGTAGAGTTTTACAGCAGAAAGATGTCAAGGGGTACGCCATAGACAATCATCAGTCTGTTGATACTGTAAGGAGTGTGAACTGCAAAATTTTAGTACTTAAAAGTGATAAGTGTAGAGTTTGCACTGTTCAAAAAGGTGACTTAAATTCGATGAAAAATAGACAAAAACTCAGTTCTCTGATGAAAGCCCGCGCATCTTCGCATGCAACCCTCCAGACATTAACAAAAAACAGCTCATAAACCGTACAAAGAACTTGCGAAGGAACCTTCTAAAGGTAAAAAAACAGCAGAAGAGAGTTCAGGAGAAGATTGAACGAATGTTGAAGGACGAGTGCATCACACTGGATGAACAGTCGGGGAAAGACATTAAACAAGTTGTGGAGGAGGCTTCGGATGAGATAGAACATTTATGGAAGGGCAATTCACCACAGAAAATTCTATGGCAGGAGCAAAGGAAAGCGTTGAAGATTAAAGATAGAAGACAATTAAGATGGCAGCCAACAATTATTAGGTGGGCAATCGCTGTTCACAGCAAATCACCTGCAGCGTACAAACTGATCAAAGACAGTGGTTTTATGATCTTGCCTGCCATTGGAACATTGCACAGTTATACTCAGTATTATTTTGACAGAGTTTATATCATTGTGTTTATCTTGATTTCTTATAAATGTTTTGTGTATGGTTTTGCCTACATCTTATGCATTCTACTGTTTATTGTACATGGCTACATTTTATCAAAATCTGAACTTCAAGATATTTGAAACAAATTAGGGAAACTGGGAAATCATTTGTGTTTTAAGAATTAAAAGTAGATTATTTAGGAATGATTAAAGGTGTTATTTGGGGACCAGAATTTACTACAGTTGACCTCATATTTCCTCTGTTTGATGGGACCCAGCTTGTTCATATATTTTGGACATTAACGCAAAAACAATTTCCAATGCTTTAGTGGGACCAATATATTGATTTAAGGTGTGATATTTAGTGAAATTTCAACAGAGCATTCTGTGTTCCTCTCACCACACTCTTGAATAAGCAAAATTGGTAACTATATGTGGTTATGACTTATGAGCAGATTCTCAAGCTCATGATTTACTTTTGGTTTTGTATATTTTCATTTCAGCTGGAGACTCACAACGTTTGGACCATCCTCCTTCGGTAGATTGTGGTATGTATAGGACTCTAGGTGTTTGTTTTCTTTGCATGATTGGAAAAGGTTGTTTATAATGCACTTAACCCTTTGCCTATGGGAACCGGTTATGCCTCGTATAAAATCTGTGGGAGTTTGAGAATTGAACAGTCAATGGTTTTAGATCTGCTTTTTGCTGGAGGGTATAGGAATCACCAGAATGATAGTAAATGTACTCAGTTCTGCTAAAATTGACATGCACAGCACACAGATATGCATGCATGGGACTACACACAAATTTTCGGCCTGATTGTTTCAGCTGAATTATTGTGTTGTTGTTGTTGTTGTTTTTTTTTAATAATCCTTAGCTACGTATGACTTCAGCAATTTATTTTCCAATATTGGTTAATGTAACTGGAAACAATTTTAGGAAAATCAGCACTTACTGCAAAATAGTATCAGGTTAAACACTATGCAATATTGAATAGTGTTTAACCTGATACTATTTTGCAGTAAGTGCTGATTTTCCTAAAATTGTTTCCAGTTACATTAACCAATATTGGAAAATAAATTGCTGAAGTCATACGTAGCTAAGGATTATTAAAAAAAAACAACAACAACAACACAATAATTCAGCTGAAACAATCAGGCCGAAAATTTGTGTGTAGTCCCATGCATGCATATCTGTGTGCTGTGCATGTCAATTTTAGCAGAACTGAGTACATTTACTATCATTCTGGTGATTCCTATACCCTCCAGCAAAAAGCAGATCTTAAACCATTGACTGTTCAATTCTCAACTCAAACTCCCACAGATTTTATACGAGGCATAACCGGTTCCCATAGGCAAAGGGTTAAGTGCATTATAAACAACCTTTTCCAATCATGCAAAGAAAACAAACACCTAGAGTCCTATACATTTTGAACAGTAATTATTGCCAAAAATATTTATTATGATGATAATTTTCATCATCATCATTGTTACCCTCTTGAAGAAATTCTTTATTGCTCATTTCTTTTTTAAATTTAGATGTGGATAAATGTGCTGCAAACCCATGTGATGCCACAAACGGAAACTGTACAAGTAGTGATGTATCATACACTTCTACTATAGTACCTGTAATGAGGGATATGAGCTGAACGCAGATGGAAGAACATGTGATGGTATATTATTATTCTTTTCCTCCATTTTTATTTTCCAAATCATGGAGGTTAACATGAAAAATATACACTCCACATCTTTAACTGTTTCCATTTTTATGTTTTGTTCTTCACAGTTGTGGTTCCGTCCAAACAAGCCTGAGGGGGAACAGGAAGAAGCCATTCCTACAAGAAAGTTTGTGGTAAGGACGACTGATTATTTCTGGTTCCTAGGAATAATGTACCTAACCATGCAAATTGGATATATTCCAAAGGGAAAACTGGCTTCATTTAGAGCAGGCCGTCGAATCATACACAGCCCAAGAAGACGGGAAAACAATCAAGGCATCTTTAAAGTTGGGATTGTTATACCTGATCAAGAATGCCTGCAAAATCTAATCTAATCCGAGATGAAGACGACCGTGCAGCAAATATAGACAAATTCCTGGCCGTGCTGAAAGTAAATGAAAGCTACCTATTTGGCGACGCCACGTACTACGTGAATCAAAGAAGAGAGTCAAAATTGAGGAGGCCTTTCGAAATGCCACACGGAGACTTGAAGAAGTTAAGACATTTCACACTTGAGCGAATAGAGCAACTGGTAGAAGATAACTTCTGATCTGAATGGAGAATGAAACCATAACTTTTAATCAGTGCATATATCGATTATGCATCCATATCAATATGGCATTTAGCAGGTGTGGATGGGTTTGTGTTGACTCAGCTGAAGAGAGGATATTTGGGGAAGATCTTCATTTTGTTCGGCTGGCCGCCATCAATAACGGTGGTGTTACGGTTTAAGAGGTTACGGCGGTCGCGAAAGAAGGGAATATATTCAATACATTACTTAAAGTAAAACGGGGGCAGTTCTTTGCAATTTCTGGGTTGAGACGTCCTAATGTTAGACGTGCCAGCGAGTCTGACGAAGCAGGTCTTTCGAGTGGTTGCAAGGTGAGCCTACTTCATTTCTTTCTAGTTACTTAAGTTGATAATACTTAGATAAGATTCAAGGTATTTCCGTAGTATGGTCATATTTTTAGTTTAAATATTTTGAAATTGTATGTGATTTTGTCAGTATTCTACATTATTGTCTAAGAAAGTGGAGACTTGATCACGGTTTCGTTGGTATTTTTTAGGCTAGCTAGGCTAGGCGTCGGGTGCTAGCTGCTAGCTACGGTAGATAGCTATAGCGTTCGGGAGAGGGCGTCTTGATTTTGTCTACCGCTATGATTGCCATGCATGCTTTGAGGCCTCGTGCCCGAGCGCGGGTTTGTTTGGTTCCATTTGTGGAGTACTAATATTATACAAATATACACTGTTATGAGAGGTTCAGGTTTAAACTATGAGCAATAAAGAGTTTGCTGAGGGGCACAGCCCCTAAGCAAATGGCACTTTTGGGATCACCGAGGCCCAGTTTTAACCAGTACCTCGAATAGAGGCATTGGTATATTTGTTTTATATCCTGCATCAAAAAATTATTTTATAAAAAAATAAAAATAATATAAAAAAAAATGTATATTTATATTTTTGGGAAGAAAAAAACAATTTAGAACAAACAAAAAATTTCAATTTTTATCTAAAAAGAGTTAAAATATTTTGTTTTCATTAAATTAAGATTAAAAAAAAAAAAAATCAATTTAAAAAAAAAATTCACATTTTTTTTCAACTCCTAAACAGTAAACCCAAAAAGCTAGTACTCTCATATAGATCTAGACTAGTAGTTTCTAAAAATAGTTCAAATATTTCTGGTCATGTGACGAGCTCTCAACCAATATCATATCTAATAAAGGTTTGAATTTTTTTTTTTTTCATAAAATCATTGACCAATTAGCTTGTGGTGAAAATCTCTCAAGACACATTTGTTTGGTACATAAGGATAAGGAGCAGGTGAAGTCTGCCATGCAGCTGCCGAAGCAGGAGAGAGACAAGGTGTTCTCAAAGTTTAGGAAGGAAGGCATATACCGAGTAAATAGAGAACGTATCAAAGATGACAACCCCATTTATGAAAGAGAAAAGCTACCAAAATCAGGGAATGATGACAACCTTAAAATGTGCAGTAACTGCAAGGGCTTTTACAGCTCACATTTCTTCTGGCATCACAGGAAAGTTTGCCAAGGTGATATATGCACTCCATCTGAAGGAGTACCAGTAAACCTCATGGAAGGGAAAGATCCTGTGTATCAAAAACACCCAGACTTTGTCCCTGACATACTTAGTAGATTCCAGAATGATGACGTTGGGAATACGTGTAGAACGGACAAAGTGATAGTTAATGTTGGACATCGACTGTGGACTAAACACAGATCCAAAAAAGACAAGAAACTTGAAGTAAGAAAGTCAGTTATGGCTGATATGAGAAGACTTGCCACCTTATACACTGAGTTTAAGAAGAAACACGAGGTTCATGGGACTGCAGATCTCACAATGGGACATGCTGGAGACATGTTCAGTAGAGAACACTTCGAATCTTTGACAGAGGTAATCCAGATGCTCACTTATGGTGAAACTGAAGGCAAACTAAAGTCAGGACTGAAACTCTGCTTGTACTTTGTGCTGAAAAAAGCTAGCAAAATCACTAAAGCTAGTTTTCTTGTATCCAGGCTTGATGAAGATGCATCTGAGATTGACAAGTTCATAGAGATTCTTGACTTGAACCAGAATTTGATTTTTGGGAATGCACACTACAAAATCCAAAAGAATCGCCAAGTGCGTTTGAGGAAGCCTGCAGAGCTCCCGCTTGAGGCTGACATACACTCAAAAGAAAGTCACAGAAACCATCTCTGATGAGTAACTGGTTTGGGAATCTAACACATTTGTAGAGTTACGAGATCTGACTTGCTCGCGATTGACATTGTGGAATGCAAGGCATGGTGGGGAACCCAGCAGGCTTACAACCCAAGAATGGAGAGATGCAGAAGAGGGTGTATGGATACAGAAAGACAAGATTCATGAAGCTAAAAATCCAGCCCATCAGGAACTTTTATCTCAGCTCAAGATATGCTACCAGACTGGGAAGGGCACTAATCGCTTGGTTCCAGTCCTGTTCCCAAGAGACACTGTGAAACCTGTGCAACTTCTATGTGATCAGGAAATCTGGCATACAGCAGGAATAAGACCTGATCATAAGTACATATTCGCTTGTACTCAAATGTCTCATGACCATGTTGGAGGGTGGCATGCTCTAAAGAATGTCTCAAGCAACATTAGCCTTTCGTCCAACGTTACGGTGAATGCCACCAAGAACAGGCACAGAGTGTCTTCAATTTATGCATCCCTCGACTTGCCTGATGCTGACCTGGAACTATTTTACCGGCATATGGGACACTCCTCTACAATCAATCAAACAATCTACCAGACATCATTTGCCATCCAAGAAATCACCCAAGAAGGGAGTCATCTCCATCATATAGACATAGGAGGTAGGTAAACATTTATACAAATTTTGCATCGGTTCGATGTACCATATTATATGTACAGCAAATTTATGATTATCTCAAGTTCAGATTTATAACAGCGAGGCAGTAGTAATAGAAATAAGAGCTGATATAATTTTGAATTGGGATAGCATATAGGATAATAACATCGAGCAACAGAACAACCAGTAAATGATACACCCAATTGTACATTCATATGCAAACAATTGCAAAATATTGATGGAAAAAACTTGCACCATTTTATATTCCCAAATCTGAAGCAAACCTAACGCAGAATGCAAAAATGTTCATCAAGTGATATTTACTATTTATTTATTTCATAAACTCTTTGTTTTTGGTATATATTTAGTTTGTATTTGTTTGATTGCACTATTACAGAGAAGGATGAGAAAGTGAATACAAGATACACTAAACCTAATCGATCGTGTCCATTCTGTCATAAGAGTTGTGGGGAAAAACTGTCTAGACACATCCGCAAAGTCCACAAGAATGAAAAAGATGTCCAAAAAGCAATGAAGCTACCCAAGAAAGAACAACTGAGGGCATTTGCAGAGCTCAAAAAACAAGGTATTCTCCAAACAGAAAATATGCAAAGGAGGAAGAAGAACCTGTGTATCAAAGGGAACGATGCACTGACAAGAAAGATGCCCTTATCATTTGTGGTATTTGCAAAGGCTTTTATGCCAAAAAGTACTTTTCAAGACATCATAAAATGTGTCAAGGAGATACTGCCATTTCTTCATCTTCTGTTTCAGCGTCATTGCTCTCAACTGATCCTAACACAGAGGTTTCTTGTGAAGGCTTTGCTTCGGAAATCCTGTCAAAAATTAAGGATGATGAAATTGGCGAAACATGCAAAAAGGATCCAGTTATCAGAATCATCGGTATGCGTCTTTGGGACAAAGGTAGGGGCAAAGCAGACAAAAAAACAAGGTTCGCAAATTGGTCAGGACAAATATGCGACGTTTAGCAGCACTGTATCTGACCTTCAAAGAGACACATGAAATGCAGAATGACAAAGAGCTGAAAGAGGGCAATGCTGGTGACTTGTTTGACCGCACTAATTTTCAGGTCCTCGCTGAAAGCACAAGAACTTTCACACTGGACAGTACTGGAAAGCTCAAGCCAGGCTTGAAGATAGGGGTTTATTACCTCCTCAAGAAAGCTGCCACGATCACTAAAGCAACCTATCTGGCTAATGCCCAAGATGACAAGTCTGCCGAGATAGATAAACTTGATTTACAAGCCAGACTGGAGTCGGATTATAAAGATGGAAAATCATATTCCTATTTCGCATCAGGATGGCTGGGAGAGATTAGCATTCATGAAATCAACACAGCTTCAGAATTTAGCTTCTTGAAAGCAAAGTGTAGACCTTCCCAGAGAATAGTCCAACTGCCAGATGTAGACTCGTATTGGTCAACATTATTTCCATATCACGGTTCATGGGCAAGGGCATTTATACCAGCCAGAGATAGATTCAAGGGTCTCATGTCATTTTTACACATAGTTGACCACAGATCTGAAGACCCACAAGATCCATTACGCAAAGTGCGTTTTTTACTTGATCACATGAAGAAGACTTGCAAAGCACTTTTTCAGCCTGGAGAAAATATTGCAATTGACGAACATATGGTCTAACATATGGAGATCTAAAGCAAGATTTCATTTTCGCCAGTATATACGTGACAAGCCTACCAAGTGAGGTTTTAAGTTGTGGGTGCTGGCAGAATCATCCACTGGGTATACATGGAACTTTGATGTCTATGTTGGCAAAAATGCTAAAAGAAGTGAGAATGGATTGAGCTATGATGTGGTTTTAGAATTGTGTTCAGAACTTTCTCATCAGGGATACAAGTTATTCTTTGATAACTTTTACACTTCTTCAAAACTTGTAGATGATTTGAAGATGAATATTTTGGCTTGTGGGACTGTAAACAAAACAAGAAAAGGGTTTCCAAAGGATTTTAAAGATACATCAGTAGAATGGGGAAAACGAGCATCACGTGGCAATATGAGGTGGCAGAGGGATAATGACATTGTTATTCTTCAGTGGAAGGACAATAAGCTTATTAGTTTTTTGTTATCAATGCATTCAGCCTCAGACTTCGGTTATTGCTTACATAGAGTCAAGGAAAATGGGACTTTCCATAGGAAATTGGTGCGGCAGCCAAAATTAGTGGCGGCATATAATCAAAGTATGGGGGGCGTAGATAAGTCTGACCAGGTCATTGGGAAATATGATATCCTTCGTCAAACACACAAGTATTGGAAAACCCTTTTTTTTAACTTTGTTGATATTTCAATTGTGAATGCATATGTTTTGTTCATTCAGTGGAAAGATGTGTATAATATAGCTAAACCGGCTCATTATGGTCAGAGACAGTTTCGCGAAGAGCTGTGTCAACAGTTAGGGGGTATAAAATCAGATCAGCTTGTACCTTTGTATGCTTTGTCTAAACATCCTAGCCATGTCAAAAGTATGAGTGTGGAGGAGGAAGAGTATCGTCTTCCAGAAGTAACTAAAGAAAGAAGAACATGTAAAGTGTGTTATGAGGAAGGAATGGGAAAAAATGCTTTCAAGAGTGACACCAAGTGTGAAAAATGCGATAGGTATTTGTGCTGTACCAAGAAACGGAATTGCTATGCCAGGTTTCACAAGGAAAAAGAGTTTAAAATATTCAGGAAATAAATAGGAGTCAAAGAAACAACGGTAGAGACAGAAAGATCAGTTGTTTGGGAATTTATTTGAATGAAAACAAGTGAGTAATACATGCACTCTAAAAATAGAGTGCAAAATTTTGCTGTGCAAAATCGCTGTTTAAAAAAGTAGGGTGAAGTATTAACCAACCTTGTGCCACACACCAAGTCCCTTCGAAATTTCATTACACTTGCCATAGTGTCAAATCAACATTCGACTGTGCGCATTTCCGGGGTAAGAAAGTAACGATGCAGATTAATATTTTAACCACGCATTGGGTAAACAAAAGTTTTGACACCTAAACGTTGGTATTATGACACACCTGATGTTAAAAACTATGATTGAAGCGCATGGTCCGTTGTTCCAAATACGGTAAGCTGTTCATCGACTACTTATCGTGTTCAAGATCGACAGAATTAAGATGGTAAACCACACTACACTGCTCAGCTCGCAGTGCAGTGAAGCAAAATGTATGGTACTGATGAGACTGGACCGTGCCCCCGGCAGTGGCGCGCCCTCCCTCGGGTCACCGCCTGAATCGATCTGGTCTGGAGAACGGGGTACACTAGCGTGGGTCGCAACAGTGCATGTAGTCGAGTCCGCGTTCTAAAAAAGAAGTATCTGTGAAGACTCTTCTTCTTCTTCTTTCTTCTTCTTTAGGGTTAAGTCTACCTCCTTCACAGTTGAAGATTCTTGAAGACTGATGAGTGTGTGTGTGTGTGTGTGTGCTTACGAGAGCCAGGTGCATGGTGCAAATTAACATGGCTCTCTGTTTAAAAAAGGAAGAAGCAGTACCATTCCTGGTCATTGCACTTATGACAAAGCTAAAATTATAAGCTATGCACTATATTTAAAAGAGGGGGGGGGGATAAGTTGCAGACACAAACCTAGTAGTAGTGACCTATTAAACCTATAGGTCTAGTCTATAGTACTAGACTCAAGTATACTAGTCTGCATCCCATATTTCTAGTATAATTTTCTAAAATAGGAAGCATGCAACGGCTGGGGATTGGCTAGGAGAGAGATCAGCTAGAACTCTAGTGTCCCTTTAAAATTAACACTCAAACTTTGTTCAAAGCTAGTATTAGTAACTAGTTGACAGTACTAGACTCAAGTATAATTTACACTACATCCCATAATCCACCTGACCTATGTTAGGCCGTTCAAGAATTTCGACATGATTAATTCTTTCTATATTTCTGAATCATTCCATCCTAGTGAAATGATATGAAACATTGTAATGGGTGTGTATTCGCAACACTCTTGCTGGAAAACGCCTCAAAAATCATTTGTCACTGACAGTGACAATGTCTCTGATGTGAGTGTGTTGCCTTTGCGTTGGAGCTTGGAGTTTTAGCTGTGCTTTTCCTCAGTCTTATCAACTTGGCCATTGCTGAGAGTTTTTATGGTTTGCATTGAATGAGTGCTGGGAATTACTGAGTCTGTAGGAAATCAAATTATATGTATCAGATGAAACACTGTAAGCAGTTTTGGCTCTGTTTGACTTTGGTGTCGATAAGCTCGGCCACTCGAGCAGAACCCATGTAGAAAAATTTGAGCGCGAAAGATTCTACAACGCGAGAGGCTCCGTAAAACATGACATGCTAGTGAGGTGGACAGAGACGAACGTCCAAACTCTTCAAAGTTGAATTTCCTTCTGCTTACATGTACACAACAGAATTCATGAATTTGTTCATGCTTGCCTGAATCAAGAAACGTTTTCACTTAATTCTGTAGAAACAACATTTGCCAACTATACTTTGTAACACTTTGTAACCTACATTCACCCCATACGTTCCATGTATGTGGTGATTCTTCTTGCCATAACCACTATCGTTTAAATGCCTATACAGTAATAACCAATTCTATTAACCCCACTTTGTCATACAAACACCCCATGTGATGATTATCCTTGCAATGTATACAGTAATAATCAGTGTAACATTCTGATCATATACACTTATAACAAATGTATTATTCTGACTATATAATAATAACCACTATCATTCTGACATTCTATACAGTAATAACCATCATTTATTTCAGTCAGCATTTTCCCTCTTACGAAGGGTTACTGACTCTCGCGCCATTATGACACTCCCTCCTTCCACTTTTTTCTGCCTTGACCAGCATCCTCGTTCAGACCAACCTTACTGCTTTCTTCCTTCACCATATCTTTCCATGTGATCTTTGGTCTTCCTTTTCCTCTTATGCCATCCACCTCCAGATCCCATGCCCTTTTTCCTGGTTCCTCATCCTCCTCCTCAACATGTGGCCCATCCATCTCAAACCACTTCTCTTTACCGCTTCCACAACAGTTTCTTCCAAGCCCAACCTTTCCATATAAGCTCACTTGTGGTCTTTCTATCAGTTATTTTAACACCACACATTTTTCGTATCATGGCTCTTTTTGTATTATTTTAATAACCCCACATTGCCATACACTCACCCCACAAGTTTCATACATGCAAGGATTCTCCTTATCATAACCTGTTCTTTACAGTAATTACCAATGTAGCATTCTAATAACCCCACTTCATTGTACACTCACCCCACAAGTTCCATATAATGTGATGGCTCTCTTTGCCATAACCAATGTTTACTAACCAATGTATCAGTCTGATATCCCCACTATTTCATACACTCACCCCACAAGTAACTCGTCGTTTTCTTCCTCAGGATTAAGAGTAATAATACTTGATACTTGTTCATAGGTTTGTATCAATGGCTACATATTTTTCTTTCTTTATTCTGCAGAAAATGGCCTTAATCAAGAAAAAACGGATGTCTCCTTACGAAATGGCTAAGCTATACTGTCAAGCTGGCATTGACCAAGACGGATTCGCAGTAAAATTAGTAAATGATCACATTGGTGAGAAAAATATACGGTTGTCAAGCCCATTTAAGGCATTGTTATTTTTGAGGTTGAAATTTAATGTCTGAACTAGTACATGATAGTGTCAGAAGAATAAAATGTATACCTGAGAACACAAAAATGTAGAAAGTTATGCTTGATTTTAATATCAGCACATTAATAAAAGTCTTACATGTAGGAAATGCTAATTTCTTTTACAACAGTCTATGGAGGAGTTTTACTTTTGGAAATACTTAAAGCTACCTTAAAATGGAAGAATTTTAACAGCGCCATCTTTTGGGCATTCCTAAACATTTGATGGCAATTTTAGAGATTATTTACATTTAATTTTGAATTTTGAATTTGAAAATAAGTTTGTGTTTTATTTCAATCATTATTTTTTACCTGCAAACATTAAAAAAAACTGCCTGCAAGCACATTTTAAGCTACTTAAAGGAAGAATAGTGCATGATGGGAAAATGAGATGGACATTTTTCACATCTTGTCCCTGAGGAGCAATTGAAAAAAGTTCCATCAAAATCAGTTAAGAAATGACAAAGTTATGACAGTTTGAAAAGTCTCAATTTACTTTCTATGGCGATCCTCAAATTGGCTATGTTGCTTCAAAATGGCAAGTTTTTGTGGCCAACTCTCCATATGCTTTGTACACAAAATTTCAGATTAATTCTCCATTATCTCTTAAGGTGCAGCTTGTCTCCTTAGCTCTATGTATATCATGGCAAAATGTATTTTATACAACATATGTTGAGGTCACAAAGAGACAAGTAGCAACTTCTTCTTCCTCTTCTTTCTTTCCTTTTATCTTCTCTTTCCCTTTCCCTTCTCTCTCTCTCTCTCTTATTTTTTTTTTTGGCGGGGGGAGGGGGAGGGAGGAGGCAAGAGCCCTTCTCCCCCGTTTCCTTCTACTTCCTCTTCTTTCTTTCCTTTTATCTTCTCTTTCCCTTTCCCTTCTCTCTCGTATTTATTTTTTAGCGGGGGGGGGGGGGAGGGAGAAGGCAAGAGCCCTTCGCCCCGTTTCCCTCTTTTCTTCTTCTTCCTCTTCTTTCTTTCCTTTCATATTTTCTTTCCCTCTCCCTTCCCTCTCCCTCTCTTATTTATTTTTTTGGCGGGAGGGGGGAGGCAAGAGCCCTTCGCCCCCCCCCCCATTTCCCTCTTTTCTTCTTATTCTTCTTTCTTTCCTTTTATCTTCCCTTTCCCTTTCCCTTTTTTCCTTCTCTCTGTCTCCCCCATCAACATAGTAATAACGAAAGAGACCACTCTGTAATCAAGACGGCGTAAATATTCATGATTGAATGACACACGCCCTTAAAACTAAAACAACAACAACCATTCCATTTTATTTAATACATTTTCGATATAGTTAAATTGGCAACTATTACCTTCTGTCCCAGATCCTCATTTTAAACGACTGATGCGAAAGACTAGTCGACGCACCCTTTCGAGAAAAGCTCCCCCGCTTTTATCGAAAGGGTGTGTTAAAACGGTACTCCGCTCTCAACGCACCCTTTCGAGAAAAGCCCCCCCTCTTTTATCGAATGGGTGCGTTGAGCACACTACACCGCGCCGCACCGCACCCTTTCGATGAAAGCCGGCCTAACGTTACATGTTCTGCAGTAAGCCTGTAACTTTTTAGGGCGCTAGTTCATAAGTGTGCCCATACTTTGGCGCCGGCAGCCTATGCAGCTAGCTACCCGTGACTCGCGCGTGGAGAGTACCCTACATACGGCTAACTTCAGCCAGGCACGAGCGCTTATGCACTTGTTGAATTGCAGTGAAACTTGTGAGAAAGTGTATATTATACTGTCTTTGTTTTTAGGAAAAATACTCTCTGAAAGATAATAAAATTGGCATAAAACAGGTAAGAAAGATAAAGACTTTGAAATCAGGCCCTTTACATGGACAATTGATGATGATTCAGTTGATTTTTGGGACGTTATATATGTGTTTAGTACAATAGTACTTTTTAGTAGGGTACCGTACTCTCCACGCGCGAGTCACAGGTAGCTAGCCGCGTAGGCTGCCGGCGCCAAAGTATGGGCACACTTATGAACTCTTATAGTAGACCTACTAGTACTGCATAAAACTTAATCTAAGTTCTAACGTTAGGCCTAGCCTAAATGTTATTACGTGGGACTGTGTCCAACAAACATGCACTGTATGCTGTTGCAACAGTCAAAAATAGACAACAAAAGTTCTCTGAGGCTGAGCAAGATTTCAGTTTTTTAGAATTTGCTAACTGTTAGATTACTGGTCTTGATTCAGGACAGGGTCTCTAGCTTCAACTCATACTGTGCCACAAATTTGGGGATTCAGAGTTGAAAGTGATAGTCTAAGTTAGGCCTAGTCTAAGTTAGTACTAATACCTCTACTATGAGAGTATTCCAGACATAGGCCTACTTCTTCTTCTTCTTCTTCTTCCTCCTCTTCTTCCTGTTCAGTAAAGTCTACCTCTGGCGTGAGTCATATACTTACTGGTGTAGACCCTATAATTACTTGGTAGTCTAGATCATTTAGCCCTCTGCTCCTAAGGCAAGGGCTCTCAAATAGATCTAACAGTTAGATCTAATTCAGGTTAGCCACTGTAGGTGCAGATACTAATGTGTTTTTTTTATAAAGCATTCCAGGATTCCACCACTCTATTACTAATAGTAATACTAGCATAGAAGTGGCCAGCTAGCTTAGTTCTGGAACGTCTATGGAATAATTTCTTAGAGTGACCTCTTAGTTGTATAGCGAAGAAGAAGAAGACGATAAATATTTAAAAGTTACATGTAGCAAGGGAAAACGCCCACCCAAAATAGTAGAAAATCATACGTTATAGGAAAATAATTAGTTAAAATTCCATTTTCAACTCTGAATCCCCAAATTTGTGGCATATAAAGACCACCTCGAATGCCAGTTTTGCATTTTTTTTTTTTATGTACATGGTCTAGACTACTTCCTGTCTCATTAATTTTGTCCATCGGCCCAGTGGAGTAAATTATAAAAATTTCAACCAACTGATAAGTTACTTTTGCACTGTTTTTTTTTTTTTTTTTTGTCTCGCTGTGATATAATTGGAAAATGAATTAATCATATTGTATGTGTTCTCTTCTTTGCGATTTCCAGACATTAATTATGCAAAACACCTCGGTGGACCTGATCCGGATGGATTTGAAACCTGTTTCATTAGTCAGGAGATTGGTGAGTTTTTCATATATACATGTAGAAACATGTTCAGAACCTGATTCATCAATGATTCTGTCATCATATATTCATTATTGTGTTTACTTATTGATGTTTTGTCTTTAATGTTTATAACTATTTATCTCATTCATGTTGCTGTCATTCCATCTCATGAATAATACAGAATCACATACCAAACAGTGAATAATGGACCGTCCTCTGATGTATGTTCGCATTGTGTGTGATCATGTGTTAACGCCCCGCCCCCCCTTTCACAGACACATCAACTATTTAAACCGTGGACTGTCCTTTGTTGTATGTTTGTAATGTGTGTCAGATTGGTGTTGGAACTGCTTGTAACATTAACAATCAAACTGTGGACTGTCCTCTGTTGTATGTTTGTAATGTGTGTCAGATTGATATGGGAACTTCGATGTAACGTTAACTATCTAACTGTGGACCGTCCTGTGTTGTATGTTTATAATGTGTGACAGATTTACGTTGGAACTTCGATGTAACATTAACTATCTAACTGCGGACTGTCCTCTGTTGTACATTTGTATTGTGTGTGTATCACAGTGACATTTGAACTGGATATAACATTGATTATCTAACTCTGGACAGTCCTCTGTTTTATGTTGGTAATGAGTGTTAGATTGATGCTGGAACTTGGTCATATAGCATTGGGTATTTAACCTCAGGCTTTCCTCTGTTGTATGTTTGTATAATGTGCATGTATATATCAGATTGATGTTTAAACTTGCATGTAACTTATAATGCTACCAGACTGATGTACCTCATTTGTCTCAAACAATCTTCTCTTCGGTGTTCAGGAAAAAGATGTGTCCAAACTCCAAAGAATTCAGAACTGAGAACTCTGCCCCCATCTTGTATCTACATGTATATGGGTCTGTCCACGAAGTTGGGGTTTTTAAGGAAATTCACCACCGTCGGTCATAAAACCAAGTATAACTCCTTGTTAAGCAAACACTTTGCAATGATGGATGTTTTGTTTGATACACATAATGATAATCTTCCTGTGTGTAAATTTTCAAACATACACGCTGCTCCTTTTATGAAAAAATGAACATTATATGTTAGTGTCCAACCCCATTTTCTAATGAAAATTTGTGACATGAAAATAAAAATATTTTGACTGCTTATTTCAAAGTAATTACAAATTCCTTACCTCCGGTAACAATCAGCAAATACATATTCTAACTTCATCTATATAATCAAAGTCGAGAAAGATTGGATTCGCCAAACATTTTTTAATAGCAGACTTCCCAAAGTCATCGATACCGCCACTACGGCGGTGTCCACTAAGAATTTATACGTCGTGGCGGTACTTTGAGCCAATGTTCCTTATATGGGATAGTTGAAATTGTAAATCTTATTGTCCATAATGAGGTATTTTTCTTGCCAGTAATATTTGATAAATGAAATCAGGATACTATCAAGCATTTTTAAGTATCATCATTCAGAAATACGAGTCACCGACGTGGTGTCCATGCGGTAAAAAGAAGGATCGGTAAATTGAAACCAGTGTCATTAAAAATATCCCCCCTCATCAGAATCGATCAGTCCGGCAAAATCTCGATGAGTCATGGTGGTTGATATAAATAGCTCATTCGGCTCCGTTTCCTTGGTGCGAAGCTGAAATTTTCACTTTGACAATATGGCGTCCTTCTGCGAGTCACCGCTAGAGTCGGAAAGGTTTGAAGCATCGGTGAGCAAAATCGATGACTTTGGGAAGCCACTCTAAAACTGCTGTAAACGGTAAGGTTTATTTTTTTGTTTGATGTACTCCACTCTATCGACTGTTGTAAAAATTCTTGTATTTTTTATGAAGTAGCTCGACTTTTCATCCTTTCTTACTGTCCGTACCCTCGTTTGGACACCACGCAAGAGTGGTGTCTGCTGGTTGAAATCGGCGGTATTTGTTAGTTTTCCGTAATGTGAGCAGTAAATGCATGAAAATCGAAGAGTTTCACAATCCATCCTTGTATTAAACCTATAAAACAAAGGATTACTACGGTAAAAGAGACTTTAAAGTATTTAGGAAAAGATACTGGCATTTTTTAGCCCCGATGCTACTCTTCGGTGAGGAACACTTGTGTCCGATGTAGTAACGGTATAGTAAATAAATTTGGGCCTTCTTCGGAACAAAACCGTCTTAAAATTCCTCAAACAATTCTTCCAGCAATTATTCCAACGGTAAAATTCCGTCCATTGATAGTTTCTCCTCATATTCAGATGCCTCCATATTCCTTTTTTAGAGATGTTTCTCCAGAATATTCGCCCAAAATCTCAAATATTTTAACAATAGTCCCACATATAGCGATACGTGTTATGTTTCACTTGACAACCCGTAAAACCAGCGGAATCGGACCCAAAAAGCAGCTCAAAAAGCATGTTTCATTTTTCGAACTTAATAATATTATACTATAATAATCTTTCATGGTGTATTGTTGTTGTTTAGACGTCTTAGTCATAGTTTGGATTTTAGATTTTATTTTTTTCTTTTTCTTTCTTTGTAATGATTCATTTAATTGTATTCATTTACCCTTTTCTCGTAAAAGTCTGCATTGCATGTAGTGTCCATTCGGTGAACATTATAGCCAAGAAAAATAGCATACTAGATAAAACTCCTTTTATTTTGAATTTTTATTTTGATTACAGAAACCAACAAACATGCCTTCTAAAGCTAAATCAACATCTAAGCCAAGGCCACCCTTTCATCTGAAATTGAGGGCATTTTGTCCAGCAGAGGGTAGTGAAGACCGTAATGAAAACGGTAATGAAAACGGTGATGAAAACAACCATGAACACAGCAAGAAAACTCATTGGCGTACACATTTAAGAGTCCAAAATCCAATGAAGTATCAAGCTTACCTGAAGTATGAAGCTCTTGTGAAAAGAAAGAACCGGGCAGAAAAACGTGAATACCTTGATCAACCTGGAAATGAGGTAGAGAAGAAAGGTGACCTGGCTCATAGAGCAAAACAGCAAAGAGAATATAGATCCAAGAGAAAACTGAAAGAGGAAGAAGCCAAGAAGAAGGCAGAAAAAGGTAAACAACCAGTGAAAATGACAAGAGCTCAGTCAGGTAAGGAGGCGAAGCGGAAAGAAATAAACGCAGCAAAGAAAAGGGAGTACAGAAATCGTCTCTCCAATGAGAAAAGGCAAGAAATCTTGGACAGACGTCGTAGGAAGCGACGTGAAGAAAAGGAATTGCTCATTGGACAAGAACAGCTAATTCAACAACATAAGAAAGAGATAATTAAAGCGAGGGCAGAGAAGAAACGACATAAAGAAGAGGAGAAACGTCTAAGAGAAGCCCAAGAGCAGATGGAGAAGGAGAAGAGACGACTGAATATAAGATCAGGAGATGCACGGCGGCAAAGTCTCATCCGTGCAAGGTCTGCCCTATCTACAGATCCAGAGATATATGATGCACCACGCGTTACCCCGGGGTACCGTAGTACCGCGTTGTGTAGCGCCATCTCGCGTCCATTCGAGTACAATGTATGGAGTGCGTGTACATAGTTCCGTGGTATCTCTATGGTGTATACTATGCATGGTGTGCATGCATGCACTGCTCGCGCTATAGCGCTCGCTCACGATCACAAGCGCACTACGGTGGCTATCGCACACTATAGTGCTAGCTAGCTCCGGCGTCCGGTCCCAACCCGCGGCTATTTTAGAACTTGATGTTATTGCACGTACGTACCGTACCTGTATACTCTTTCGGGAAAAAAACAACAAACAAACATCGCATCATCGACATAGTTAACGCGCGCGTTACTGTCAAACTTTCAAACTTTGAAAATGCCATGGGTGGAAGGTGATGGTGGATACGGGGATTTACTGAAAGGGAAAGGACGTAAAAGACGGAAGATTACAAGGGCCGAGAAAGTTGAAAGAGCTCGATCTCGTGCTGTAGAGAAGTTGGGGGAGGAGAAGGCCGCTGATGTGGTAGCGGTGTTTAGGAGGGCGAGTGACGGGGGAGACAAGGAGCAGGCTGATGGTGTTATTTTGACCCTGCTGGCCCAAGCCCTCTCGCAAATCGAAGTCGTAGCCCTACTTCATGTTGGGGGCTATAGAGTTGCTAGACTTGCAAGGTATGACCCTGAGGAGGAGGAGCTACGAAAACAACGAAGAGTAGCCTGGCATGCTGCCACCGAGGAGGATAAGCAGGCTATTAAAGATCAGATTGATAGGTACCGTACCGTAGTAGCGTGGTGCATCATATTTTGCTTTTGAGTGTGATTTAGAAATTTCTAAATCACACTCAAAAGCGAAAACTATGAACTTTTACTTTTACTTTTAGTGCAATAATTTTAAGTGCCTTGACCATTTCTTTTTATATTTTACTGTACTTACATGTATGTTGTTGATTGAGAAGTGATGAATCTCTCCTGTTCTTACTATGGACCTACTTCTTCACTTTTCTCACTTAATGATCAATCACTCTCCCTGTCATTCGCACACTTTCTTTTCCCCTCTTGAATTTCTATTTTTCTTCCTTCTTTCCCAATCATCGTTATTAAATTGATTAGCATAATATTCAGTCAAATTATTGTGCAATTTTCACTATGAACCTGCCAAGTTATGTACAGTACCTTCTGGAGCCTGTATTCTCCTCATTCTTGCCAAGACAGAAAATAAAAGATAATACCACTTCATAATGTGATTTTCATTTTTATTATTCAATTGGAAAATTTGTTTATTCACAACACATGAGATTATCATGACTGCTGTACACAGATAGCATCATAACACAAAATAGAACTTTCATTTATAATTAATAATTTTAATCATACCACAATAATAATACAGGGTGTATCATAACAGCATGAAATGATATCAATAATAGAATAATTACTCATAACAACAATGAATTTTAGAAATACAGGACTTAAAGGATTTTTTACAAGAACATTGGACACAATTGAAGGTTGAAAAAAATCACACAAAAATAATTTTCCACTTTTTGGTAACCCAGGGTACAGCCTTAAAAAAAAAAAAAATAATTCAACAAAATGGCCGAATTTTTTTTGGTACCCCAGGGTACCATTTATGTCATCATATACAGATACAGTTGAAGATCTTGTGCATAAAGCATCCCCGAGGAAGAAACATCTGCTTCAGGAAAAGGGCATTAGGACAGATGTGACTGCACAGGCTATTCATGAATCCGTGGCAGAGAAGATACGCAATATGCGGAAGAGCAGGAAGAAAACAGACTTGATGGTAAAACGTCATATGATACCGTCCAAGCGCATTTGCAGAAAATACAAATGCCAGACAGTCTTGTGCAAGAATCTGGGGATTACATCCAAATGTCTACGACCAAAATCAACATGTAAACCACATAGTCGCCCTTCCCAAATACCAGCAGAAACGAGGGACACTGTCCAGAGATTCTACCAAGAGAATGCTACAACCCTCCCGGACAAGAAATTCGTAAGCAAAAGAACTAAAAAAGCATGCGCTTTCCTGACGATGACAGTGAGGGGTTTGTTTGCAAAGTTCCAGAAGGAAAACCCTGCAATGAAAGTTGGGCTGTCTACGTTTGCAGCCCTGAAGCCCACCCATGTCAAGCACCGACATTTGATCACATACAGAGGTTGTCTGTGTGAATACTGTCAAAATGTGGAACTAAAAATGGCAGCCATCAACTGGCAAATCATTTCATCTTCAAGGACATTTACGACTTTAATGCTGCAACCCTATGCGAGAGGGCAGACAACCAGCCATTCCACAAGCTACCCTGCATCCAGAGACAGTGTGGGAATTGTGGCACATCAAAGCTTGATGCAGTGTTGGATCTGGATGTGCTGAAGCATAAGGGAAATGTGGAATGGAAAAAATGGGCAAGAGAGACCAAGGAAGAAAATGGGAAGAAGACATCAAGAATGGTTCTAGGGAGAAAAGAAGGCCCATTGGAGGAGATGTTGCAAGAGTTGAAGATCGAAGCAGCAGCACTCTCAGAGCACCTATTCACGGCATCTTGGCAGAGTCGGGAATTCTTGCGGGTGTCAAAGTCTCCACCAAGCAGAAGTGTGGTAATGGTATTAGACTTTGCGGAAAACTATTCGTGCAGATTTCAGGATGAAGTGCAGGCTGTGCACTGGGGACACGATTCTGCAACAATACACCCCATTGTTGGGTATTATAAATGCCCTGATTGCACAGAAACTGTAACAGAGTCAATGATCATGATTACGAAGGACAATGTTCATGACTTCAATGCAGTACAGCAGTTCACTTCCTTTGCTGTGGAACATATCAAGAAGAAGGTTCCGAACATCAACAGGATCATTCGGTTCTCGGATGGGGCAGCTTGCCAATACAAGTCCCGTGGACCATTCCTTGACATTTCTTATGGAAAGGAGGACCACCAACTTGGGTTTCAACATGAATACTTCGGCAGCAGGCATGGCAAAGGACCCAGTGATGGAGAGAGTGGCGTGGTGAAGCGATTAGCTACGGATGCAGTCATGTCTGGCACAGAGATCATCGCTAATGCCAAAGATTTCTTCAACTTCATCGAACGCACGGCAACCCTACCTAAGGAACAAGAGGATGATGGCAGTAAATGCACCCATTTCTGTAGGAAAGCATTCTGGATTGAGAAGATAGATCGAGACAGGAAACGACAAGCACTGAAAACAATTCAGGGAACACGACGTCTTCACAGCATCTTATCTGTTCGGCCTAATGTCATCAAAGTCAGAGAACTCTCATGTTTCTGCAATGGATGCGAAGAGGGCAAGCAGGCATGCTCCAACAAAGATTACGTGCAGCAGTATGTTGTCAGAAGGATTGCAACTGGACCTGTAGATGGGATGAAGCCCACCTCTAGAGCAAAAGCAGATGCCAAAGGTATAGTTATTAAATCAAGGATATTTTCTTTAAAAGGTCATAATTCCATTTCAAAGATTGTATCCTATAAAATAAAAGGGTTATAACAAACTTGTCAAAACAAGTTCAAGTTCTTTGTAGTACTTGTATATATATATATATATATATATATATATTTTAAAACATGATACAAGGTTTCAACATAAGGCAATTCCTTGGTCCCCAGAACCTTTTGTATAATGAGGTTTCTTTATGTATTTGTCCAAATTTCACATCATGATCATATTAAAGCTGAAAATCATCTTCATTGCAATAACTACTGGCCATTGTATTCCTGTCAACCAATGACAATTTCTCTTATTTTTATAAATTTCTGTCTCTGTTTTTTAACCCAACCCAACCCAGAATCAAGAAATGATCCTGAAGGGAAAAAGGAGCAGAAAGCAAGAAAGGACACTGACAGAAGAAAGAAGCAGGAAGCACGAAAGGACACTGAAGGAAGAAAGAAGCAGGAAGCAAGAAAGAACACTGAAGGAAGAATGGAGCAGGAAGCAAGAAAGGACACTGTAGATGGGATGAAGCCCACCTCTAGAGCAAAAGCAGATGTCAAAGGTATAGTTATTAAATCAAGGATATTTTCTTTAAAAGGTCATACTTCCATTTCAAAGATTGTATCCTATAAAATAAAAAGGTTATAACAAACTTGTCAAAACAAGTTCAAGTTTTTTGTAGTACATATATTTTAACACATGATATAATAAGGTTTCAACATAAGGCAATTCCTTGGTCCCCAGAACCTTTTGTATAATTAGGTTACATTATGTAGTTTGTCCAAATTTCACATTGTGATCATATTAAAGCTGAAAATCATCTTCATTGCAATAACTACTGGCCATTGTATTCTTGTAAACCAATGACAATTTCTCTTATTTTTTATAAATTTCTGTCTCTGTTTTTAAACCCAACCCAACCCAGAATCAAGAAATGATCCTGAAGGGAAACGGGAGCAGGAAGCAAGAAAGGACACTGAAGGAAGAATGGAGCAGGAAGCAAGAAAGGACACGGAAACGAGAATGGACATCAAAGTTGGCAGCTTTGTCGCAGTGAAGGCAGGCAGACAGAAGTGGTATGCAGGGCTTATCACACAAGTTGACGGAGATGAAGGAGATTTCGAGGCATAAAGTTTTGCCATCTCACTGAGAGGCGAATGCTTGCGAACCGTTACGAATTAGCACAGTGCCATATATAGAGAGAGTCTAGCCTACCCTTGTTCAGTAGGTATCAATATGGCGCATATTCTTTTGTAATGTGCTTACCTAACAAAGCAGTACAAAAGAAAATGCACCATGTTGATACCTACTGTTCACGGAGTTGGCTATACTCTATGTATGGCACTGTGCTCATTCGCAACGGTTGGCAAGCATTCGCCTCTCAGTGAGATACTCCCTTTACCTGAAGAGTTTCAAAATGTGTAGACATACGTTATATTTCATGCATTTATCTCATTTGATGTGAAGAGGTGAAGCAAATTGAACTTCATACGAAGGTACTGGGTTAGGCATCAGTTCCTCTAGCTTTGTTAAAGTGTTGAACTTGTTTACCTGAAGAGTTTCAAAAAGTGTAGACATACGTTATATTTCATGCATTTATCTCATTTGATGTAAAGAGATGAAGCAAATTGAACTTCATACGAAGGTACTGGGTTAGGCATCAGTTCCTCTAGCTTTGTGTATGCTTAAAAGTGTTGAACTTGTTTACCTGAAGAGTTCCAAGAAGTGTAGACATACATTATGTTTGATGCAAATTGAACTTCATACGAAGGTACTGGGTTAGGCATCAGTTCCTCTAGCTTTGTTAAAGTGTTGAACTTGTTTACCTGAAGAGTTTCAAAAAGTGAGACATACGTTATATTTCATGCATTTATCTCATTTGATGTGAAGAGATGAAGCAAATTGAACTTCATACGAAGGTACTGGGTTAGGCATCAGTTCCTCTAGCTTTGTGCATGCTTAAAAGTGTTGAACTTGTTTACCTGAAGAGTTTCAAAAAGTGTTGAACAAAAGTATACACGTTATCTTGAATGAATTTAAATGTGATCGGGATTTATTTATTGCACATTTCTCAGTTTTAAATCTTGAATGAATTTAAATGTGATTGGAATTTACTTATTACACATTTCTCAGTTTTAAATCTTGAATGAATTTAAATGTGATTGGAATTTACTTATTACACATTTCTCAGTTTTAAATCTGTTATTCCACTCTAGTGAATAGTCATACAGTGTTAGACTTGTTTAACCTTTAAAAAGACATCTACATGTATTTGTTGAATTTATATAAGTCCTAATGAAATGTGTCTTACCCAATGTATGAAGTTTTGAACCTAATTAACCATCAAATAAAGACAAAGTGTTTTGAAACACAGAGTTTAACCACTGAACAGTCAGTTATGAAGTGATAGACTTGTTTACCTGTAGAGCTCAAAAAAGTGTTGCATGTTATAGAGTACCGAAGTGATGACGTCGCAATTTTTTTTTCTTTTTCAATTCATCGTTTTGGATATCATATCTCGGCGGAGCATGATTGTTTTAATACAAAGCATGGAAATATCCGCCCATACACTGTTTATGTCGTGTTCTTAGGGCATTTTCATTGCTCTAGCAATGTTTAATGTTTGAGATGCATTAAAAATGTAACTAATAAATTAGTTACCCAAACTTTTATTCACTTTAATGTGATTGAAAATAAAATCATTCAAATCTTCAAATATACTGATAGATTACTGAGTTATTATTTGAAAATGAAATGTCTGTTTTTTTTCCTACAGTGAAACAATCCAAAGATTAACTCCATATCATCAATCAATGCTGAATACTAAGACAAAAATAAAAAAGCATGACACATAAATGAACAATTGTTGTGTCATGGTAACTTAAAGTGGTGTCCGTGTAGTGGCGGTATTTCTACTTGAATGCTCCAGTGGATCATGTGCATGTGATGTTTCCAGAACCTCTGAACCATTTTTTCTTTCCTTTCTTCTAAAACTATGGGAAATGGGCAACCTAATAATGATAAAACAAAATTAGTTGTGCAATTTTGAAAAATTGACCCTCATGTCACACTTTTTGCCCCAACTTCATGGACAGACCCATATCCAGTACAGTACAATCACCCCCATCTTAGGAGAGATCCATTGGTTTCCTATTCACTCACTACAAATTATCCTGCTCACATTTAAGGCTGTCCATCGTCTTGCTCCTATTTACTTGTCTGAGTTAGAAGTCCGATATCTACCACCCAGAGCGCTTAGATCTGCCTTGCAAGACTTGTTAGTAGTGAATATTAGTAGAAACAAGTCTTACGATGATAGGTCCATTGTGCTGCACCAACTCTTTGGAACTCTTTTCCTGGTACTCTCCTTGCTCAGTCAAACATAGATGTATTTCAGAAGGAGCTAAAAACATGTTTGTTCAACATTTCATTTATATTGTCTCATGACTGACTCTATGTGTATCTGCCAGGAAGATTTTCCAAAGAGTCTTCCAACAAGTGAGATATTTTTAAATTTTATTTATATCATTGTTTTACCTGAACACTATGTTAATTATTATTATTTCCCAGTAAAGATGTGCGTTGATGGCTAAATGTAAGCTTTTCTCTCTCTTTTTCTCATTTTCCCTCTTTATAGGGGATGGGCTGTTTTCAACAAAGGAGTTTATGAAGGGAGAGTTTCTCCTGAGTACAAGGGTGAACTTTTGACAGAAGAAGAGGCCTTAGAAAGAGATTATAGTAGTTGGCGGCACCATTACCAGTACTTCTTTCAGTGGAAAGGAAGAACAATGTGGTAAGAAAACTCTCCTGATTATCAGAATGGGGAACAGGTAATAATTTCCAGCAAAATTACTGCCTGCAGTATGTGGTACTTTTCAGACTAGCGTAAACTAGACATACCTGTAAATAATTATGAAGGAGCTATATTTGAGAAGCTTGATTTATATTCACAAAGTTTGCTGGAGGCATAATGTTTGTTTATCTTTCCTCTTTTTTATCAGTCCTCCTGTTTTTCACAGTCGTTCATAGAATTAACCATTTTTCATTAGAGTTTGGTACAATAGTGACATGCTTTAATAACAATTTGATAACATTCTGAGGGAAATGAATGAATCCTGCAAATTTTACTGCTGAAATGAATTTAAGACATGGAGCATGTTACACTTAATCTGTTATAAAGTGTAAAAAAGAATACCTTTGTCATATTAACTGTAAAGGAGTTTTCTCTATGTGAAGACTGGAAGTGGAATGTGTGACCATATAAAACACAGATGTATGTTTTCACTTGCTAATTTTACTTTGTAAAAAGGGAACACAGTGTTGTTTATTGACTTTTATAAATCTATTCTTTTGCCCCCCCCCCTGCTTTTTTCTTTCAGCATAGATGCCGCCAACTACACACAGTCTCTTGCAAGATATGCAAATGATTCTCGGCCATCAAGGAGGAGCTGCAACTGTAGAATCAGAAAAAGTAGAAATGAATGATTCAGTACATCTAGGGATCTTTGCTCTGAGAGACATTCAAAAAGGGGAAGAACTGCGTTATGACTATAATGCTCCAGGTTTGCCATGGAGGACCAAAAAAAAGACATATGATAAACACACACTGAATGCTGGAGGTGATCGAAATGCATCAGATACTGGAGGTGTTCAACAAGCATCAGAAGTTAGAGGTGTTCAGTTGTCGCCAGATTTTGGAGGTGTCCAACAGGCGTCAGATGCTGGAATTGTTCAACAGGTGTCTGATGCTGGAGGTGCCCAACAGGCGTCAAATGCTGGAAGTTTTGAACTGGCATCATATGCTACAGGTGTCCAACAGGGATCAGATGCTGGTGGTGTCCAGCAGGCGTCAGATCCCGGAATTGTTCAACAGGCACCAGATGCTGGAAGCGTCCAACTTGCATCAGATGCTGGAGGTGTTAATCAGGCGTCAGATAGTGGAGATGTTCAACAGGCGTCAGATGCTGGAGGTGTTTATCTGGCGTCAGATGTTGATGTTAGAGGTGTCCAACAGGCATCAGATGCTGGAGGTGTTCAACTTGCGTCAGATGTTGGAGATGTCCAACAAGCGTCAGATGCTGAAGGTGTTCAACAGGTCTTAGATGCTGGAATTGTTCAACAGGCATCAGATGCTGGAGTTGTTCAGCAGGTCTTAGATGCTGGATGTATTTATCAGGCATCAGATGCTGAAATTGTTCAACAGGTGTCTGAAGCTGGAGGTGTCCAACAGGCATCAAATGCTGGAGGTGTTGAACTGGCATCATATGCTACAGGTGTCCAACAGGCTTCAGATGCTGGTGGTGTCCAGAAGGCCTCAGATCCCGGAATTGTTCAACAGGCACCAGATGCTGGAAGCGTCCAACTTGCATCAGATGCTGGAGGTGTTAATCAGGCGTCAGATGGTGGAGATATTCAACAGGCGTCAGATGCTGCAGGTGTTCAACAGGCATCAGAAGCTGGAGTTATCCAACAGGCATCAGATGCTGGAGTTGTTCAGCAGGTCTTAGATGCTGGAGGTATTTATCAGGCATCAGATGCTGGGGGTGTTCAACAGGTCTCAGAAGTTGAAAGTGATCCATGTGCTTCAGATTCTGAAATCTCTGAATATGCATCTGATTTGGAAGATTCTGGGCATGAATCAGACTGTGATGATTCAAATCATGCATTAGATCCTGACTTTGTAGTTGACGAATCTGACTCCCCTGATGGTAATTCTTCTGAAAGGTCTTATGTCATTCCATTGAAAAGACCAAAAGTTACTGTGTTGTATCCCGAAGCATCCCAGGTCAGCTCTGAATCGCCATTACATACTGCAGAAAGCAATGTATTGCAGAGAAATCCTGATACATCTCATGTCCGCTCTGAAGCACACTTACCTCATAGTTCTCCTGGAAAGATCAAAGTATTACGTACTAACAACCAGCAAAAGAGACACTGGGACAAAGGGGCATACTGCCCATTTTGTCGATCGTATCAGAAGAAGCTACCAAGACACCTAAGAGAATTCAAGGCTCACCAGAATGAACCAGATATCATACAGTGGCTCACAACAACGGACAAAGATCTTAAAGCAAAAAGGCTGACGAGAATGAGGAACCTGGGAAACCACTTGCACAATGCCAACGTTATCAAAGAAGGAGAAGGAAAGATTATTCCAGTGTATAGACCAGACTACGATGCAGATTACACAAAGTATCTGCCGTGTGTTGACTGTTACGGCTATATTGTAGAAATGACCTCGGGAAACATAATTGTCCTTTCAGAGAAAGCAATGGAGAGCAAAAACAGAAGGAAAGGAGACAGTTTGTAAAGGATAGCAGATTGCTATTGCCGATACCAGGTACATCAAAGAAAGCTCAGGAAATTCTTGCAGGACTTCGCAATGATGATGACGGGGTTGCTCGATTCATTAAAGGAGACAAGTTGATGAAGCAATTAGCTGATGGATTTGCCCTTTCACACGGTCATGATGCTGATAATTTTGCTCACATACGCAACAAACTACGAGAACTTGGGCGCTTATGCATCACATACAGAGAAATAACTGAACAACCGAATGCTGCTTTGACTGACCTCATCAACCCGTCGAGGTTTAATGATGTAGTAAAAGCCACTAGAAAGACAGCGGGCTTTGATGAAGAAACAAATCTCTACCCGACTCCATCCTTAGCCCTCAAACTGGGCCACTCACTAAAAGCAGCTGCAGAAGTGTTATTGAGTCAAGCCCTCAGTGATGGTCCTGTGGTAGATGATGCTTCAGAAAATAAGTGTCAGCGATTTCTCAAATTGTACAACATGCAGTGGTCAAGAGCAGTGTCATCAAATGCATTGCGCACACTTACTGACCATAAGCGCAATCATCCTCAGTACATTCCTGTCACAAGTGATATTGCCAAACTGGCAAAGTGTTTGAAGCATGACATGAAGACTGGTGTACAGGCCCTAAGCCAAGGTGATCCAAAACCTGAGGTGTGGAGAAGTCTAAGTGAGGCTACACTTACTTCGATCTTATTGTTTAATCGCAAGAGGTCAGGAGAGGTCTCTAAACTCAAAGTCAAAGATTTTGAGAACCGCCAGAATGGACAGTCTTCTGTTATTGATGGACTCTCTGAGTGGGAAAAAGCACTTTGCAAAAGTATGACAAGAATGGAAATCGTAGGAAAAAGAAGACGCACCGTACCAGTTATCCTCACAAGAGACATGGTAGAGAGCATGGAGTTATTGATGAAGAACAGAATGGAGGTGGGGGTTCCTGAGGACAACAAGTTCTTTTTTGCCCTACTTCACTCACAGAACCACAAAAGAGGGTCTGACACGCTGCGAGAATATGCAAACAGATGCGGAGCAACAAAATCACAACTTCTGAGGTCTACTAGGCTTAGAAAGCACATTGGAACAGTATCTCAGATCATCAATCTTCGTGACAATGAGCTCGATATCCTGGCCAACTTCCTGGGACACGATGTCCGCGTCCACAGGCAATTTTATAGACTTCCCGAAGAAACAGTGCAGTTAGCCAAGGTGTCCAAAATACTGCTCAACATGGATAAGGGTACCACATCACACCTTGCTGGACGGACCCTGGATCAACTTAGCGTAGAACACGAAGGTGAGATTGTGAACTCCTGCTTAGAATCAGAAGGGGGAAAAAAAAGTATTTTTGTCTCGGTTATCCCATCAAAGGGGAAATATGAATTCTATTGCTGAGGCTTTTAATCGGGTATGTTTGCATTCAGGTATATAATTGTTTACATTTCAAATGTACTTTCTGAATGAAAGCTCATACAGGAGAAAGGAACAACACAACATTTTTCATCACAAATTAGATCAGGTGACAACAGTGATGTAGAAAAAAGAAGAAATGGTGTGATTTGTTCATGTGTTCACTTACAACCACTGTATAGTCTTTTTACAAATGTATATGTCACTGGACACGTGTACCTCATTTATCCATTCACTGTGTACACTTTTAAGGATTTGCTACTTTTCTTCTCAGATGTTCCATTGGACGATCCTCTGGAGGCTGGGTCAGATTGTGAACCGGAACCAGCTGTACTGAAGAAGGATTCCCTATCCTCTGTCAATGAAACAGGTATGGTATTGTTGATAAAAACAAGGTTCTTTTAACCTTAAACTTACATGCTTACATGTAGTCAACTTGTTTTGTGTTGCATGTTTTTGATTTATTTCTAATCTTTTGTCAGGGTAGCCCATTCACAAATAAATAGTGGCCTTCCATGGGGCCCTGAATGAACATATTTACACCAAAATGCATAACGTATATACGGAATAGTTAGAAATAAAATTCCATAATATTCTTGTATTTAATCACTGGGAAATCTTTACATAATTTACTTATATTGCAATATATTAAGTTTCAATGTTGTTGAATTATCAAAAAATGATAACGATTCCCCAGAAAAGGAATTAAGTGTGTATTATATCTCTGTTAACTAGTACCAATAAATTGCCTATAATTAACTAGTTCTGAAAAACGTTGAAATGAATAAAACATGACAATGATGAAACTTATTATATGAAAGTTATTGAAACTTGAAATGGGAGAAATAAAATTATTTACTGCTTTCAATAGTTAAGCAGTTTTTTCTTCATTTCTCTCAGAATGCAAGTAGCAAAAAAAAAAAACCAAAAAGCCACATAAGGAAGTATTACTTTTTGCATAATGCTAACTTAAAGATTTGCTTGCATTTCGATGTTCTACAGGACGATTCTGTCAACGTTGGGGCAGAAGCAGCCGCAATGGAAATAGATCCTTCCTTTTCTTCAACCTCTGCAGATGAAACAGGTATTTATGATCTCAAGATTGGCACAGTATCAGCTGAATAGAAGCCCTTAAGAAATCTGAAATTCTGTATACATGTAAATACCTCCATGACCAGGTAGAAAAATATCTCAACAAACCTATCCTGAGATAAGTGGTCCTAAGAAAAAGTGATCTCTATAACTTCCCGAAATTCTTGTTGTGACCAACAACAGTCATAACATCCAACATCAGTTTTATTATATATGTGTATATATGTATGTGACCTCATGGAGATATGTGCCAAATTTCATGAAAAAACTCGCAGTAGATTGAACAATAATCATCGATGAGAATAGGCCATATTTCATTTTTTATTTCCCCTCCCATTGACACTATGTACAGTTAGGGAGCAGAATTTTAACAAAAGTGAAAGTTGGCTTATTTTCATCGATGATTATTGTTCATTCTACTTGGAGTTATTTCATGAAAATTAGCACATATCTTCAGGACGTCATTAACTAAAAGGATCTCATGCCAAATTAACTATTCGATGCGGCACGGAGCAGGGACAACGCCCTAAACTTTCACCTCATTTGCATAATTTTCTTGTATCTTTTGCTCACTGAAGCGTAAGAGATCCGGATTTCGATAAAAATCAATCGGAGGAACTCCCCAAGAAGACTTATGATTAACCACATTACGCAATTGAATTTTGGTCGATAGGTGAAAGAGCTTTTCCAGTCCCACGTGGTCATTGAAGCGTGAACTTTCGATTAAAATGCCATGAGATCATTGATAAATGTACACCGGTCATATAAACATGCTAAAAATGTTATCAATAAGATATTTAGTGCACAAAAGTAAGGCCATCATTACTGGATAATTTCAACATGGTGATATTTTGTTTTTATTATGTGTTCATTCAACCGTGAATTGATAGGTATCAGTTGCAAAAGTTGCAAACACCTGTCCAAAACATAAATTCCTCCGCATTAGATCACCGCGCAAAAGAAGTCAAAACTGCAGTTTTTGCCATTTTCACCTCTTGCTCACTCAAGCATGAAATTTGGTGCACAACTCATTTGGCATGTTTGGTAACGAATAAAATTTATGTTGCATGCCTTTAAACGCCGATATCACTACATCAAAGTCATGGCACGAGGCTTTTGAACTTCAAAAAATGACAATTTTGCATATTTGTCGTGTTCAATGAAGCGTGACTGAAGGGTTTGCCCTGAATTTTTCCAGGAAATGTAGCTGAGAAGTGTAGCTACATGATTCTGTATTCAGATTTCATCAAAGGTTCCTGATCGAAAAAATACAGGATATGTTTTAGGGGGAACTTATTTTCTGTTTTGGGTTTATGTGTACTAATCTAAAACATGTAAACAAAGCAAATTTCCAGGAGTGGACAATAAATACTTATTGAATAAATTGAATGAATTGAATTGTATCATATCAAACCATGTTTCAAAGTCGGTATTGTCCATTGGATGATAAACTCATCCCAGCTACTTCCTACTTCATTATACTTTGTTTTACTTTATCTAGATTTACCTAGGCCTGGCTTGCATTTCATATCTTCCTGACTAGCAAACTAAATAATTTCAATCTTGCAACATTTACCAGAATATAGCAATAGCTTCAAAATAGGGCCAACAGCACCTTTCCAAGTAATTACCTGTAACATGAATTTTTATGCCTCCGTCCACCATAGGTGGGTACCGGAGGCATTATATTTTCGGGTCATCCGTCCTTACGTCCTTCCATCCCATTTTCATTCTCATAACTTAAGAACCATTTCACGGATCAACTTTGAACTTGGTGTATGTGTGCATATTAGAGGGATAATGATCTGACTAGATTTCGGGGTCACCAGGTCAAAGGTGATGGCAGTCATGGTATATGTGAAAATAGCTTGTTCTTGCGATAAGTTAAATAATTAATGAATTAACTCAAACTTGTCTCATGAATACATGAATACCTATAAGAGATCTGTAAAGATTATAATTTTTCTGAAAATTTACATGAATATACAATATTTCTGATTTGGCAATGGCAAAGGCATTAATTTCGATTGCGTGCAGTTGAGAATTTATCTCAAATTTGTTTCCACAGCTCCATTCACTGCTACCTTCTGTATCAGCACCCCTCCCACCTCCCATTCCTTCTTCAGTTCTTCTTCCACTTCTTTTCTTTCTTTTCCTATTATCTTTTCTTCCAATACTCCTCCTCCTACTCCTACTTCTGGAATTTCTTCTTCTTCCACTTCCACCTCTTCTCTTTCTCATTCCCTACCTTCTCTCCCAGTTTCTTCCTCAGCTTCAGCCACTCCTCCCTTTTCTTCTCCTTCTCCTTCACTTCTTTCCTTCCAGTATTCTTCTACTCCGCCTTGCACTCCTTCCATCTCTTCTACTTCTCTTCCTTCCTCTCCTTTGCCTGCTTCTCATTCCTATCCTCTTTCTACCAATGCTTTTCCTTATAGACCTCATCCCTCATCCGCTCCCAGTTCTCTACCTGCTTTTTCCCGTTCTAGCTTGTATTTTTTTGTTGCTTTATTACTCCTTCTTCTTTTTCTTTTCACTCTATTGATTATTCTTTTTTATGTCTTTGAGTAATGTTTTATTTTCAGTACAGTTTTATTTATTTCCCACTTTTTATCTAATTTCTCGTGGGGGTGGGGGGAGGGAATGACTGAGGGACTGACCCCTAAATCGGTAAGTAATTAACTCACTATCTTGATTTCACTGTAATGATTTAAAACTCCATGCTTGCTTCTTTGGGTTGATCACCTTACCAATACTGCGTACAGACCTAAGATAAATCTTGGAAGTTTAAAGACAATTTCTGAAGTTGCAACCTACACAATGTAAAGTTAGATTCATGCCAGAGAGGTGGAAGAGAGACAACCCTCTTCATGCTACAGTGGGTGATTTCACGTTCAGTGTTAGTGTTTATTTTGATGCTAAATCCTGATCTAACACCGAACATGAAATGAGAACAAAATCAGTTGGTGTTCAGTGTTGACCTCTGAATTTTGACGTATTTCCGGTTGCTGGTGTTGTATTTGGTGTTGAATGTCGTCTGCTGAACCGAGCTCGACAGTCGGTGTTTAATTTCATGTACAAATTTACATTCACTAACACTATACCCTAGGGATTAAGAAATGTTCATTTCACGTTTGGTGTTGGTGTTGCTAGCTTTGGGATATATTATCATGTGTTGTGGAATACAAAGTTAGTAAGAAGCTAGAGTAGATGAGTAATTTTACAGAACGGTTAATGAAATGATGTATTATATACGTAAATGGTATGGGTCTGCTAGACTAGTCCTAATTTGGTCCAGATCTATCATGAACATAAAAGAGTTCTAGATCAATATTCACAGTACAAAAGTCATGATACTACAATGTACATGACTAATCTGAACCTTTGCTTGAAATTTGGCTGTTTACAGAGTACGCGCTGCGCCGTCTTGGTTCGTCTAGTTGGACTTAGCTACCGTAACATTTTCTGCTGCCAGTAACAAACTCATGACAAGTGGATTCTAAACTTACTGTTTCATTCAAAATTGTCCATTTTCATGAAGGTGTATACCACAAAGTAGATCTAAGAAGGGCTGCATTATTATTTACTGGAACGTTTTTAGGAGACACTAGACAAATAATTGAGTAGTGTACAACAAAATGCTGTTTCTTCGCGGAGATGGTAACAACGCCATTTTCTCCAGCTGCGCAGTGTTTAGCTATCGATCCATGGTGTTGGGATATCGGTATCGGCTCCTTAAATCTGAGAGGCGGTATTAGGGCTCAATTTTAGCAGATTATTCGTCTGTTAACACTAACACCAGCATAAACACCGAACGTGAAATCACCCAGTATGAACTTAATAGAAACCATACATTGTAAATGCCAGTGCCCATTCGTCTGTCCCATTTTCCGGTCTCTCAATTAGGAACCTTTTGATGGATCAACGTCAAACTTGGCTCCTGTATGCAAATGGAAGGGACAATGATTTTGAGTGTATTTTGGGGTCATAAAGTCAAAAGTGAAAGGTTGTAGAGGTCATTGAATATGTAAAGATGATTCCTTCTCACAGTAACTTTAAAAAAAATGACAGATCAACATCAAACCTTGGTCATGTACGCTGGGAATGACAGTGACCTGATTAGATGTTTAAGTCATAAGTTCCAAGGTGAAAGGTCTTAGAGGGCATTGTATGTAATGTGAAAATGGCTTGTTTTCACGATAACTTAAAAGCAAATGACATATCAACTTCATACTTAGCTCATAATGTATATGGTACTGGTAGTGATAATGATCTGATTAGATTTGGGGATAAAAGGTCAGAGGTCATGAAGGTGAAAACAATAATTTAACATCAGTTGACTGATTAACTTAAAACTTACTTGTAGCTTATGTGTGCATATGAGAGGGATGATGATTTGATTAGATTTTGCACATGTAAGCATATAATTATGAAAGTGACAGTGATGTGAAATCTTATATTATCAAGGTTTTTGAGATCTGGCAGTGGTGAACGCATGCATTTTGACTGTGTGCATTCGAGAATTCATCTAGTTCTTTTTTTTCTTTCTTTCTTTTTTTGTGATTTAGATGTCTGCAAGATGAACAAGAAGAAGACCAAGAAGAGCAGGATGCAGAAGAAGAAAAGAATATGCATAAAAAAAGCTTGGAGCAGGGAAGAAAAACAAGCTGTAGTTTCGAAATTCCGTGAACATTTCCTCAAGCTTACCCTTCCTAAAAAACAAGAGATTGAAGCAGTGCTTGAATCTTGCTATGCTCTACGAGAGAGGCCCTGGACCAAAATTAAGGATTTCATTCGTAATTGTCAAAAGAAACAAGATCCACTGGATTTTCTTTAAATCTGAGATTTAATTAGATGCAATGTAGGAGCAATAGCAACACCCAAGTTTAGATGAGTTAGATAGCATAACATATATATTCCTTTATATGATTTATCAATTTCTTGAGTATTTGCATAATCTACAGAAAGTGTTATAATTTGGAATTTTCATACAGGGCAGATGAAAGGTCAAAGAAGACCTTTCATGGACATCTTGATAGATAGCTTCAGGTCACAAGTATGGTTTCATGCATTCATAATTAATTTGATTGTGTTATATTCAGACATAAAAAAGGATGGTTGCATTTAAAGGATTTGAATGTGTTCCTGCCACTTCAGAAGAAGTGTTAATGATTCTGCTGAAAACAAAAGGTCAGAGAGGACATCTACAAATAGACCTATCTCTGTTTATGAGTTTGTTTCTTGCTAAACATTGCTAAACAGGTTCAGGCCAAAAGTATGGCTACATGCATTCAGAATTGATTTGACTGCATCATTACAGGGATAGTGATTTAACATTTTAAGTTTTCCATTTATTTATGATTCAGCATTTTCTTACTAAGATGAGGAAAGGTCAAAGGAGACCCTTTATGGAAATACCTATTGTTTTGGAGTTTAGTTTATTGCTAAATGTTGTTAAATACATGGAGATTCAGGCCAAAAGTATGGGTACATGCATTCATGATTAATTTCATTGTGTTATTTTCAGACATAAAGGTATGGCTACATTCAAAGAATTTGTTTATGTTCCTCAAAATTCAGAAGAATTGTAAGTGATTCTGCATATTTTCTTAGAAAACAAACAAAAAGTCATAGAAGATCCGTCATAGATATATATCTCTGTTTATAAGTTTGATTTATTGCTAAATATTGCTCAGTACAATGTACATGTAGGTTCAGGCCAAAAGTATGGCTTCATGGATAGTGATTTAACATTTTAAGTTTTCCATTTATTTATGATTCAGCATTTTCTTACTAAAGGCCCGGTCACACAGAGAGGACGCATGGGGGACGCACGGCCAGCGCATTGGGAATTTGCAATTTGGGCCAGTGCGTTGTCGTTCGCTAGGCGTGCGTCATCATTCGTTACTCGTTCGGCGAGCACGCTGGACCAACGCTGGACCAGCGCTATGCATTCGTCGTCATTCGCTGTGTGCGTCGGGATTTTTTGAGCATGCTCAAAAGTGTGCGCGGAGCTCGACGCATGAATGTACACGCCATAGGCACGCCAGACATGCGTGGAGCGCGCTAGACCAGCGCCAGACATACGCGGAGCACAAGCCCTGTATACGCACAGCGCGCTAGCCACACGCTGTGCATTTTTTGTCAGCTCGCTAGCTTTTCCAAAATCATGACAAAAGTTAGGCACACGGCCTTTTCCGATTTCCAATGCGCGGGCCGTGCGTCGTAGAACGCGGTGCATGCGTGAACCATTCGTCCAGCGCGCTAGCAACACGCTGTGCATTCGTGGAAGTTGTTATCATGTGCGCTCTGTGTACGGTCTGTATGCGCACTGTATACGCTCTGTATGCGCTCAGCACGCTAGCAACACGCTATGCATTTGGTATCAGCTCGCTGTAGCTTCGACAAAAGTTGGGCGCACGACAACGCACTGGCCAAAATTGCAAATTTCCCATGCGCTGGCCGTGCGTTCCCCATGCGTCCTCTCTGTATGACCGGGCCTTAAGATGAGGAAAGGTCAAAGGAGACGCTTCATGGAAATACCTCTTGTTTTGGAGTTTGGTTTATTGCTAAATGTTGTTAAATACATGGAGATTCAGGGTACATGCATTCATGATTTATTTCATTGTGTTATATTCAGACATAAAGGTATGGCTACATTCAAAGAATTTGATTGTGCTCCTCACATTTCAGAAGAATTGTTAGAGATTCTGCATATTTTCTTAGCAAACAAAATGTCATAGACATATCTTTGTTTTTGAGTTTGGTTTATTGCTAAATATTGCTAAATATATGTAGGTTCAGAACTTCAGGCCAGAAGTATGGCTACATGCATTCATAATTGATTTGATTAAGTTATTACAGGTAAATTGATTTAAAAGTTTTATGTGTTCCATCTAATCATTTTTGTATGATTCTACATTTTCTTACAAAGTAGATGAAGGTAAGCGTAGGTTGCTGTAAATGATTGATCATGGAAAGCTTAAAATGTATACAGAATGTAGGGTAATTACTCTAAGTCAGAGTCTTTTCAAAAGCAATTTTTCTTTCTTTCACATCTCAGAAATATTTCATTTTGAAATATTGGTGTAAAAAAAACATTTTACATTTTAAACAATACGATCCTCTTGAGGAAGGCTTTAATCAGCAGATGACAGTTTATATTTAAGATGCTATTCAATCAATAACGAGTATTATAAGTTCACTTCTAATATTTCGAAGTGACGTTAGGTAACATATCTCATTGCAAACTTGGTGTGCACACGACTTATAATGGTTCTTTGATGATACCTTTGGGTAATGATAATAGGTCACGACATGGTGTGAAATATTCATTGTCTTGTCATATTTTCTTCGTTTTTCAGTATAATAAACACAACATGTTGAGGATGTATCTTTGTTCCATGTTTTTTTTTTTCAAGTACGGACCCTAAATCATGTAAATATTAAATTAGGAGGCATACATTGTACTTTTGGTTATAACGAACTCTGCGGGAACAGCAAAGTTACTTCGTTGCAACAATTTCAGAATACCACCAAAACAACAAAATAGTAAAATATTTTGAATTTTGAACCAGAAAATCAAGTGATTTTGAATGAAAACAAATATTGTCATTTCGCTGGATATTAGAGAGTGCACTGTACTGTAACTTTATTGATTAAATTCTATTGCTTTAATAAACATGGTAAAGGCAGTGCATTGTGTTGGTCCGGTCAAAAACTGATTCTCTTTTAAAAAAATTATTATACTCCTTTTGGGTGCAAAATCAACCTCTTAACTGTTTGTTCTTATTTATTTTTTGCTTTTTAGAGACGTTCATTATTGTTTAAATGATATTGTCAATTTCAAGGAAAAGAAGTCCCTCTTACTTTGAAGTGTGGGTGATTTGACCGGACCAACGGCTATTGTCTTCTAAAAGTCCACTGACTTTCAGTAAACATAATGCCCCATTTCTCTTCTAATGTTGCCCTTGCACTTCCAAAAGGCGTGAAGAGTAGCCTGTTCTTTTTCAGTTATAGGGCTCTTTCTATTCCAACACTTTCAACTTAGCCCCTTATCACCTTTCAAAATCTCCCCATTTATCTTCCAGTAGTGGCCCTTTCCTTTCTAAAAGCGCCCATTTTCTCTTCAAAGAGTGTCCCTCTTTCAAAAATGATGCCCTTTCTCTTTCATAAATAAACTCCTCTTACAAATTCCAAAATCATCCACTTTTCTAATTTTCTTCTAAAATAAAGTCGGTTTCTCTTTAAAAGTGACCACTTTCACTTAAAAAGGCGTAACTTTTTTATCAGTAGGAACTCTTTTTCCAAATATAGTGCCCCTTTCTCTTCTGACACCACTTTTTCTTCCAGTAGATAAATAAATGAAATCTAATTGCATTGCTTTTATATTCTTTTTAACGGTCCCACATTACACATTCTAATATCAAACTATTCGTTTTTTTTTCTCTCAAGCGCTCACTCGCAAATCAAATCTTAATGGTTGTGGAAGTAGTAGTAGTAACAGTAGCAGTAGTAGTAGGCCTATAGTAGTGGTGGTAGTCGTAGTAGTAGTAGCAGTAGTAATAGTAGAAGTAGAAGTAGTAGTAGTAGTAGTAGTAGTGGTGGTAGTAGCAAAAGTAGTAGTAGGCCTAGTAGCAGCAGTAGTGGTGGTGGTAGTAGTGGCAGTAGTAATGGAAGAAGTAATAGATGTTTGACATGATATAGCACAATGTAAGGCAGCAACCTTTGTTCTTTAAGAGTTCGAATTTTGCTTAATGATGAATTGTTAATAGTAATGCAATATAATGTTTAATATATGTCGAAGCCTCGGGCATCAGTGTTTAAAACATGCGGAAGCCTCGGTGTCAAAATGCACATTTTGACCTTGCATAACATTGCGTGCATTTAAGTAGCTGTTAAAGGAGTGATTTGGGAAGGCGTTGAGCCCCCCTTTCAAACTGGCTCTACCGCCTCTGATTATTTTGAGCGCCAGGGAATTCGTTCATTTATTTATCTATTCATTCATTTATTCATTTGATCATTTCATTGCTGTTGCATAATTCTAAATAGTCAAGTGATCTAACGAAAGACAATGCAAAAGGTCGACTCTCCTGGCTCCAGTGCAGGGTTAAGTATGATCACGTGATTCAACATGAAGAAAAAACGCCAAACGTGGACGGTCCCCCATGGTAATGAATATCACGTGACTAACGTCCACAGTTTAACGCTTAAAATAAAAAAAATAATTAAATTAGTTACGGGGTATTCAAAGTGATATTTTTCATTTTCATCATTAATAATTTAAAAATCCCTAAAATATATCCATATTTAAAAAGGTTTTAGGGGCGTCCACGGTTAGATGGTTTAAGTTTATAGTCCTCGAATGAAGGCGATTACTCGTACGTGTGTGTGTGTGTGTGTGTGAGAGTATTTGTATGTTCTATATTCTGTAGCTTAGTATTTTCATCCATTGTATAATCATACGTAACATTCTTTTCACTGTAAATGTATGTATTTTGTTATAGGGCCCCGCTCACAAGCTTAGCTTCTAAAGGGGTCCTAAAACCGTTCAGTTTATGATGTAATCAAGTTAGAATATGTTGATTGATGTACTATTACCAGTCTCTTTTTTATGTAACAGATTTATCATGCTTTGTATGGTTTTGAATAAAATGAACTGAACTGAACTAGTCCTGGATCTTTTCTGATAAACTTTGTACAAACATATCGTCGGTGGGCTGATAAAACCGCGTAACTCATTTTCTGGCAAAATTTATTTTTCTTCATAATTTTGTAGCCGAGGACTTATTTAATGTTCTCATACAACCCATGTGGTGCAAATCTGAAAAGTAATGCCACAAGTGAACTGTAAAGGAATGGTCCTCCATTCACTTACTGTGTTAATCATGAAATCTTTTTCGCTCTCCTGAAAATCTATCATTTTTTAGTTACAAGGTTTTATCAGCCCACCGATGATGTTGTGCTGTGCATATATCTGATTTCCCTTTATTTCTTCTGTAATTGATTCCAGAGAGCCCTCATGGATGCAGCTATCTACAAAAGACAAAGTTACTGGGAAGGATCATTGACACGGAGAGTGTTATACCCAGTAGTGATGCAGAGGAGTCAGATGGAATGGAAGAAGTGAACTTTCAAGTCACTGAGTCACAAGCATCTGACAGTGCTTGCTCATCAAGAAATTCTGAGTCAGTCTCGGCCAAATTTTCTTATGAATGTACAGTACAGAGAACTTACCATGATACCAGATCAAAAGAGCCAGAAGCCATTGATGATGAGAGTGGCATTGGGTCAATCGATTCATCAACATCTGATAAGGGTGATGAGAATGAGAAGGTTGAAGATGAAATTATAAGAGACGTGCAGGATGGATCAATATATGTGACAAAAGTACTGAAGTCCACCACATCCCCGAATGGGTCTATGAAGA